AACGCGCGACGACGAGTCTCGCCAGGAAAATTCGTTACTCGTTACATCGAGGATTAAAGTCTACCGCGGTAATCGCGCAGCTTAAGAGATCTTACTTTATGTACGTATTTACGCAACAGTAAACAATGTAATAAAAATGTAACTAAAAACATAATAATAAAATTAAATATGTAATTTTAAAGCTGGTTTCAACCTCTTTAATTCATTTCTCTTAGTTTCTTTCAAATACATACCTATATATAATATACCAAATTTTATATCTATTATTTATGTCAACGACGTTTTGATACTGAATATGATTTAACGAATATTAATTGTGCAATTTACATAAAATACACAAATTTATTTGTATTTGGTTTCGTTAAAAAAATAAAGTCTATCCTCTTATTGATAATTAAAAAATAAATTTCTTTACTGTGTGAGTTTCTGTATTGATAAAGATAATTATGTTTATATATTTTCAACATTTGTGACTTTAGTTTTATATATTTTTAAATTAACCTCAACTCTATCGCGTGGCTTGTCATATCTTCGAGACACAGATAATTAGTGATGAGGTTTCCTGCGTGCAAGCGCAAATATGCGCTTGACCTTAAGTAATCGTCCCTCCGCGAGGTCGACGGATAAAGTCATCGACGTAGAAAACAAGAAATTACGTGCCATGCCGTTTTCGCTTCGAACTGCGTCTTGACAAAAGATGCCTTATTTAGCACATTGAAATAAGAAAGTTTTCTGCAGAACCGGTATTAATTGCCAATTCGATTAACGGCTTGGAACCGACGGCATAGATAATTGTCATTTATCATTCTATGAACGGCGTAATTTCCGCGAAAAACGCTAAAGTTTTCGTACGGAGACCGAGATAAGCACGCGTGTAGACATTCTGTATTTATAACTAACGTTCCCGTCATAGCGAAACGTGTAAAACCGGACATTTCTATTTTTATTTGCCCTACAATTTACGGTATTTTACGGCCACACAAAAAGATATCGGTAAGTTCGGGGAGCGGGTCTCTTTTTATCTCGGTTCACTCCGCCGAAATATCGATTGGCGTTGTTTCCGATATAAGCGCTCTTCAAATAAAATGCTTTTGCGCTGCAAAAAGCGAGGCCCGTTGAGGAAAAAAAAAACATTGTAAGCACGTTCGGCGGTGCACTCTAGGCTCAATAAATTTATCACGAGGAAAAGCACTATCTTATCGGACCGGCATATGGTAACGCTTGATTGGAAAATACGCAACAGCTGCACTTTTATGCTCGATCCGCGCGGTATTCGCGCCAAAGTATTGACCCAAATCAAATCACCTGACGACCGCGATATCGGCATTCCGCATCGCACATTGCACTTACATATCGTCGGTATACGAGATAATCAACATGATAACGCCACTTCAAAATGCATGCGTACTCGCGACTCGCCAAATCAAATTTCTCGATAAGATAAAAAAATGTATATATTTTTCTAGCTTTTACACTTTCTCTCTTTCACATCTTCTCTCTCTCTCTCTCTCTCTCTCTTTCTCTGACGATATTAATTTGACGATATTAATACGTTATGCATAAAATTATTATAATTTCTTAGTCCTACTAAAATAGATAAAGGAGAATGTATTGTAAAATCTATCGAAAAGTATAGAAAAACATATATCTTCGAAGAGAAACGGGATGAGCTTTCCTTGACATTGATAACGTCTGCTATCTGAATGTAAACTGCAGATCCCAAATGTATAAGTACTTGTCGCGAAATCTAAGATCTCGGATCAAATTGGATCCGCAATCTTGTCTGACCGCTGCAAAGTGATCTACTTCGATTTCAGTTTGTACTTTGCGGAGAACCGCGCAGCCGCTCCGGTATTGGAGTACCGCGTGCCACCGGCGTGCGTTATACGTCTTCGTTTAGATACGGACGGGTTGAGGAGACCACGGGAAAGGATCCGGTCGGCTACGAGACGACGACGGATACGACGGTTTACGGCCAAAGGACACGACGAACGTGTGGATGTGGACGTGACGTTGGCCGTCGCCCGTTGGAGTACTTTCATTGGTGTTATACAACCGCGGATCGAACGACCGACCGCTGAAAGGAGAAATGGGAACGCACAGCGGCTCTCATGCGGACCACGTCGGCCGCGGCCGCGATTTAGTGACACTTCGGTGTGGACAATACAGATAACGAACAAGAGTCGAGAGATCGCGAAAAACAGACACAATTATAATTGTAAAGTAGAACGTTTCTTACTAACAGCCCTTCAATGATAATAACGATAGAATTTACGATTATGAATTCGTGCCTATAAATTTCTTTTTTATATTTTATATATTTTTATATATTTGATATTTATATATTTCTTTTATTTTATAATTATATCAGTTTTTCATAATATGATATATTAATAATAATGTGGGCAATTATATCGTGAAGATTTTTTGCGAGAGAGCACAAAAGGTTCCTATAAAGAGGTTTGAGGTTTCATGTATGCAGGGGAGATAATGTGCATTCTGCAGCGTACACGTGGCGCTTAATGCGTCGATTTTAACAATGGTGAATGATAATGAAATCATTTGCATTCCAGTCTTGACTTTGATCATTCAGATTGACATTAATCATAAAAGTCTCGAAAACGAATTTTAGCTCTTTGCTATATTATAGAAGTTACACTGATTGTGAATTTGAATATGATGTATATAACATATTCATATCGCAAGCAGATACAATAACTTTTAGAAATTCAGTATTTTTTTCTTTTTTAGAGAAGGACTGAATTCCAGATTAAAACATTAAATATACATAAATATCTAAAAATTGCGTGTTAAGATTAAAGTTAATACTATTAAGAAATGTACGATTTTATCTGCAGATATCAAAATTAATTCGTATAGAAATATACCTTTAATATTTACGTGACCATCATTGCTTTCGCGTCAACTGCGATTTTTCAGCGTGATTAAAGCGATTAAATATATATTATGCCACGAAATAATGAAAGACGGCAAACTTTTCGCACGTGGCGAGCGCCGACTAGGTCGACGACTTCAATCATCGCGATGTAGACACATCTCTGCGACGCATCCCGATGCATAAACAACAGTGACATCATGTCGGCACCGCCGACTAATATCGCCGCAGTTGGTCATATTTTATCATTTTCGTTATCGAACGTGCAATTATCGAGAGTGTTGCAATTGCATCCATCATGAATTATTTGCCAATAAATTAAATTACTGTTACCGTTTCCAACGTCTTTAATATTACGTTCTATTTCCCCGAGGCTCTCAATTTGACTCTATTACAACATACAACATACAACAAGAATAGATTGGAAAATTTTAATTTACAAACGCTACTGAATAATAACTGAATAATTAATGAAATTAACCGTGCGCTTAATTAAATTTTAATGCGAAAAAGTTTCTAAAAATCTTCATAATATAATTAATTAAGTTTGTAATATTTCTAGGCTTATAATAGGTTTATAGATTTGTAAATAATATATAATATATGTCAGACACAATAAATCATTCAAAAAGAAAGAGAATAAAAATAAATTGATACTTTTTTCAACAAAATGTCGAAATTTTTGTCACTGATCTTTCTGGAGCACAGTGTATACGGACGAAGGCGAGTTTTGCCTCGTTATGTGTTATGCCCAAGGCTTCGTGCAATCCCGGTCGCGGAGAAAGTGGAAAAGTGTATCACTCACTCTTTATCCTCTATGTACCGGGTGACGTTGAATACAACGATTTAGTTACGCGAACTGCACGTACTTCATTAAACTTGTTGTTATTTAAGAAAATGCCTGACTAATAAATAATTGTAGTCAGAGCTTTAATACCACTCGTGACAACGATATCTGTTTATTTACGATAATTTTATCATCCACTCCTTTAAACCTCATGTAAAAGATTACTCGCAACTCGCCGACTTACTCGCGTAAAGAGACACGGTCCGGTCTGGCGCGTCCAGCCACGACCGCATCTCTTGATACTTATAAAATATAAAACATTAGAAAAAAGAAGCTGATATAAGTTTGACGCAATAAAAGTAGCAGTTTCTAAAAATAAGAGAATCTCGAAGTTTCGAACAAATCTCGGAACGTTTCCTGAATGCATCGGTAAAATTGTTTCGTTTCTTTAAATATTATTTAATACAATTTCAAGCTTTTAAACAAGCTTCAAGTAAAAAACGACTTAAATCTGTACGTCGAATTTAGTCTCTGTCGTTTAATTAATTGAATCTGATTCAAAATTCAAAATTGAAAACTCAGATCAGGAAAGCCAAGATAAAAGTTAAATCGGATTGATCCGACTTCCATTTCGCAAATACATGTATTTGCATCGAGCATAGATACAACATATATTTCTGTCAAGGGAATCGATCAGTCGTCAACTAGAGTCCGACCATTGCTGTTCAGTAATAACGCAAAGTAAATGAACGTACGATCGCAAACATATGCTTATACGCAAATAGATTTCATTCAATCCACGTTAATCTCGAAATAGCGATGTAGCTGCACGACAACTGTTCGCGAAGCTGCGATAATGACACCAGTTGCATACGTTCGACCATCCGATGAATCCAATGAGATATATTAATGTGTACAAACGTAAAATTAACTCAGAAAAATTTATTCTGTTAGCTATCCGTTCGTATCTTATACATATTTAATACGTTCCAATTTAAATCATCCCTTGCGTGCTTTAATGTGATTTTAATCAAACAAATAAATAAGCGAGCTTTTTTATCCTATATCCGACAAAAAATTTAATCCATTGAAAACTTTTGGAATGTGCATTCAAAAGCTTTGCGTTTCACTTTTAATTATTTTTAGCAATCACAAATTGCTACGAAATCTTGAAATTTTAACTATTTGATTTATTAAAATATACAAATTTATAGAAAACTGACATAAAAATATGTTTCAAACATATGTAAAATGTATTGCGCTCGAAAATTAGAAATTTGCCATTGCACATCGAATTTTGATGAGGCATCTACTTACCAGTAACGACGAATTTTCTCCTAACGTTGACGACGTCCAGGTCTGCCTTTCTATGAATCCGCCGGAAACGAAGTGCTGAGATTTAGATTCAAGTTCCTCTTGCTAATTGCCGGAACACAGGAATATACGCTTTTTGAGATCGCTTAAAGTGAGCTCAGTTCTTCCAATTCTTCCAACTGTAACACAGAATTGATTATTTTTAGAAACTTATCTCTTATTCGCAAGATATGCGAAATAAACAAATAGGAAATTAGAACCAAATCTTCCTCTTATTGTTAATTAAACTTTCTCACTAATCTATCCACACGATAATACAAAATCTAATAAGAGTAAATATTGTCTGTAAGTTCCCGATACGAAGTACTCGAAAGTCACGAATATAATGAAACGCTGGAAGAATCCATCATCGATCTTAACTGAGCGGTTGATGTTTTTCTCTAAATGGGGAGCCAATGATGGGGACAGGTAATCTCTTAAATGTCAGTGACATTATCATCAGTGATTCATATAGAAAATCTTCCTTCAGGTAGACTATCTCAAGTTGTCTACTTTATCTACTCCCATTGCGCCCAATCTACTACCATTGAAAAATACAATCGATATGTCATGAATTATTTGAAGTTGTGATAAGATTAAGATAGAAGAATAACAAAAAGTGAAAGTCTTCTTTAATATAATCATATTTCTCAATTCTAATTCGTGTTTCGTAAGAGTTTTATGAAAGAGCTGAACATCAACATGCAATGAAACTACAGCATCACAGTAATAAAAAAAAAGTGTAATCGCAGCGCGTGCTATTTTTAAATTGCAATGTGCTCTCTTGCGAAGCAAGTCGCATGAAATCTCATGCCACGGTATGCGATAGTGACAAAAAGAATGAGAAATAATTTAAAAAATAAACGATAAGGGCAATAATATCAGCGACAGGTATTTGTTGTTCCGGTCGTCCCGGCAGCGTTTGCTTCGTTGATCCAGCATATCGCTTCACACGCGCAGGGCCTTTAATTCTCATTCATAAGTATCACACGCCGCACCATGTGGCACGGCGACGTCGCGTATAGTGCAACGTCATTCGGCTAGATTGCATTCGCGAGCCGCGACGATGCAACGGCACGGTGGCGAGGGAAGCGCGGCGGAAAATAAATTACGCGCGTTGACTCCCGAAGGTGAAGTTGATTTCGTAAAACGCCGCCGTAAATATTATTCTATTGCGACGCGCCGTTTTGCAATGACAGAAAAATTCACCCGATTTACGTTCGGTTCCACTTATTCACATTCTTGTAACGTGAAAAGTATTATCTTTAAAGGAAGGAAAAGGCGGTAGTTACTATGAGCAAATATCTCAGAATATTTGAGAAGAAAATTATTATTATTATTATTATTATGTTTCCGAGATTTTTCAGTAGAAAAATATATTTCTCTGAATAATATACGAGATAATTAAATTAACATGAAATATTAACGTTCCTTTTAATTTTTTTAGTTTCCTTTTAGTTCATTACAGAATTTCTCGGTTTATTTTTTTGTCTTAAACAGCCATTAGATAATTTTTCCCATTATAAAAACGACGCATCTTCTTTCCCTTATACCAGTGGCCAGGATATTCTCATGCCTCCGACTGTTCCTCAAGATCCCGAAATTCGTGGCGCCGCGCCGTGTGTAAACTGGAAGTGATAACGAAAACTACTATCCACCGTGCGCGCAAACTTTGACGTCGCGAAGTTAACGAACCGCCGGCTGTGGATTAATTGTTTAAGCGCCGCACCGTAACAGCACGTTTATGGCGAAGATAACGAACCGAGTTTTACAACGTTTGCCGAGAAAACTTTGCGATGTTAACGAACACAGCCTCGGGCTGAAGATCATTCAAAGAAACGCGGCGATCTTGTTTCTTTCATTTATTTAACAAAGAGAATTGTAAAGAAATATATTTCTCACGGCTATCATAAACCCTTAATTTTAATAAGTTTTTCTTTTATCTATTGTTATGTTTTTACCATTAACAATTTCAAAGAGATACAGATATTTCAGCATCTATAATTTGTCTAATATATGCTCTTTTACCCAATCAGCACACGACTAAGAATATTTCTACGTTTTTAAAATGTCCCATAAATATCTTTAAGAAATATAGGTAGTCTGCTATATAGGTAGTCTGCTAAAGAAAACAGGATATTTGAGCATTTTGTTTCTAATATATGTACTTGACCTAGAAACTCTAGAAAAAACCGTTTTATTTCTAACCTGTGTATTTCAATATGGAACATCTGTGAGACAACGTCTACATTTTTTTCTCAAAGCTATAATTTTCCGTTTGAAATTCTAAGATTTTTCGGGATTATTTTCTCAGGTCTCATTTACAATCTCAACGGAATCAAGATTATATTACATTTATCTGTTTTTAAAGCGTTAATAATCGTTAATAAAATTTCAAAAGGTGATGACTTGAAATATTTTAAAAGAGTTTCTCAATCTTTGAAATTTTAGAATGTCATGTGGATTTACAGATTAGGATTATCAACATGATCTATCTTACAGTCGTAACAAATACTGTACTTATCATGCTACGTAAATATAAAATTGATATTACGATATCGTTCTATAAATAGGTTACAGACGAATCCTACGTGTACTTCGAAAAATAAAGTTGTGTTTAATGTTTATTTAAATATAAAAAAATATTCATCTTTAACTTTTACTCTTAACTTTTGCAGAAGAATTTGTTTCGCCTTGAAAAAATTATAATCTGCAATTCACTTCGTTAAAAAATTAATTCGATCAATTTGTTTCTTAATTAGGTCTTTAATTTATTCCGATCAATTTTATAATTTATAATTTATTAATTTTAGTATAATTATTTATTATATTTTAATTTAACACATACGTTAGACACCTTTCTATTATCCCTTCCTTGATCCTTTAATTAGCTATAATAATGCTACAATAATGATGATTACCATCTGCCCTAAGTAAAATGTTGCCCTTTACAGGCGCAACTTTTGTCGTGCGGGAAGGGTTACTCGTCTGTTAACAAGTACAAAGGATGGTGTAGACGCACTTCTCCGTTGAGCACGCACTCAAGGTGTAGTCTTTTGAAACCCGTTTTTATCGCGATCTGTGACACTAACCTACGAGCAGCACACCCAATAATAAACGCGACGCGAATGTTTGCACGCATTCTATTATAGCAAAAGTCTCTTTTCACAGGTACATTCTTAATTCTCTTTCTCATATATGTTGAATCGAAAAAAATTGACGAACATCACATCCGAAAGCACAATTATTTATTTATTCTCTTCCTGAACCGAATTTAACTAGAGTGGACAATTTCAGAAAATCAATTTAAAGAAGTACACAGTAAAAAAGCTTTTCGTCTATATCTATATATTATTATTTTGTTTAAATATATATATGTATATATAGAGCTAGTCCAAAAACATGATTTTCAACTAACATTTATTTGCTCTTTAGATTAAAAGTCAGACAAAAAATAAATTTTTGTAGATTGGCTTGTTCTACTTTTTACCTGACTTTTAATCTAAATAGCAAATAAATGTTAGTTGAAAATCATGTTTTTAAACAAATCAATGAAAAAAATCTATTAATCATAAACAGTATGCAATAATATGAATTCTTAAAACTTTTTAAGATATGTAGTATTGAAAATATAGTATTGATAATGTTAATATAAAAATTCATCATTTTTTTGTTGAATTATTTAATTATTAATGTCTAAAAGGTGACCCGTAACTTTATACGAGAACGACTTTTAATTGATTGGTTTCGAATTTAATCCCTTGAATTGTAAGTTGATTGGAAAGTTTCAAAATTATAAGTATAAGAGTAAGTTGAATTGTAACCTGTTTCAAAAATAATAAACTTAAAATATTCGTATTTAATCAACATTAATAAAAAAAAGTTATAGTTTTAAACAGAAACTGTATAAAAATAATTTTGCGTAATAATGTTAGAGAAGTCCACTACCTAGGTCAACATATTTTAGGTCTACAACTGATACTTTATCAAATATATACTTAAGTGCTGATAAATAGACCGATAAATAAATAATATGAATATATTTATGATTTATGACCTAGTAATCAATCCGGATAGCGGAAGGTAAATCGTATGTAAAACAACCTTCAATAACAGGAAGAGAAACATTCCAATAATTAATAAAAGATTAATAAAAGGTTAATAAAAGATTAATGTCCTAAGATAAAGTTAAAATTAAAATTTCAAAATTGAAATAACCATTCTTTCTTTTTCTCTCTTTTTCTCTTTCCATCTTTTGATATGCAATATCATCTGCGTACTCCGCCACGTTCTGTCTCAAAGGCGTTATAAATAACCGCGTTCCGTCCCGCATGCATCCGTGATTACGATCGCGGAAGATAGCAGAATGCACAGCAGTCACGTTGCCGCACTCCACGTCTCGACCCTTCGAGATCACGCACGAGAACTTTTCCCTAGCCACGCCATTACATACCTACATCGTTTCTACTCGGATACTCAACGGGTGCTTTTCAATTGTAACATTACTAGACATTTTTGTGCACACGGCGACACAAGCTGTTGGCCTATGCACAAAAATGTCTTAAGCAACTTGACCAAACTACATCCCCCTCAAAACCATTCAACTTTCATCTGAAACATTTTTTTTGTAACATCAATAATTTCGGGAAAAATTGATTGGCTTGATTAAAATTGGCCACATTGTATAATAGCATTTGCACACATAAAAATCAAAAACAAAATTAGTTAAACAGTTAGTAAAGCATTAACGTTATTTAAATGAAAATCAAGACTTAAAAATATTTCAGTTTCTAAAAGGTGAATTTTTCTAAAGGAGACTTTATTAAAATTTTATATAATTTTATATAACTTTATTAAAATTTTATATAATTCGATATCACGTATTTGATCGAATATTAATTAAGAATCTTCAAAATTTCACTATTTATCGTATTAATCTAAAATATCTTCGTTGATCGTATTAACTGAGTGCACAGTAATTAAGTCTGTCAAAATAAAAATAGAAGTCTCATACGCGAACATAAACTTTCGTTCGCTATTGCAAATAAAAGGTAGCAAATGTAATAAAGTCGTGATCGATAATGTGGCATATATAAAGACGACTATGCAGAACGGATAATATTATACAAACACTCGAAGT